GGAATGATTGTGAAAATACTTCATTTTCCTATGGACCCAGACATGGATGACTGCCATCCAGAGGATTGAAAAGCTGACCATTTTAAAAGTCCAACATTTTTCTTCAGAAAGCTCTTTTTCTTGTTTTTTAAGAATTAGTTTATTTAACTTTATTTATTTATTTTAATTTGACCAGAGAGGGACAGAGTGAGAAAGAGAGAGGGAAAGTGAGAAAGCAAGCCTCCAGGGCCAGGACCTGAACCACGTTCCGTCATGGAAGTCCAGCGCCCTTAATCACCACGCCACCTGCTGGTCCCTCAAAAAAAAAATTTTACACCAAAATAAACTGTACTTTAATTCCATCTTCCCATGAACTTTTCAAAGTCCCCTTGTTGTAGTTAAGAGTATTTCCATACGCAAGAGATTGATAAACTCACATTCAGAATAGAAACTGCTTCTGAGGGGAAAAGAATTAGGATCATAGAATTAATTTTAATTCTAAATGTAATACTGTTTTACTTTTTGGAAAGGTATGAAACACATTTTGCAATTACAGTATTAGAATTGTGTTTGTTTAAAATTTTTAAATAATTTTTTAAATGTACATGATAAAATGAGCATGTGAAAGTACATGCCAGGCTATGCTTTGCTAACTATCAAAGATCAGTTTATAAACACAGTTTCTTAGGGCCAATGGGTTGTGTGGAGGTTAAGGCACTGGATCCCACACAGCTGACTGAGTGGTTCAAGTATCAGACTTGTTGTCTGAAAAATCATGCTGGGTGCACTTGGGTGTGTGCCTAAAATCCTGGAGGGGAGGTGATTGTAGCGTGGAACATCTCCTTGTGGGTGGGGAGGGGCGGAATGATTTGTCACTTTCTCTTTCTCTCTATGTGTCTCTGGCAAGTACATGTACCCTACGTCAAAAACTAACAACAACAACAAAAAAAAAGGAAAAATGGTAACACAACTTCTTGAAGTGTATATTTCTTATTTGGAACAGTCCTAAAGGGATTCAAAACTACTATGGATTAGACAAACAAGCTTGTCTTCCTGGTTCACGCTCTGTGAGCTAGTGGTGTGAACTTGGTGGGACAGCTCTGCCATCCTCAACTCAAGGTTTCCATCACTAGGTTCAAATAGATGCTCTAACATCCTCCACTGTATCTACAGAATAGACAAGGCAGATCAGGAAAATGTCTAGGACAGTGTGTTTCTAAAGGCACAACATGAAATTGTCAATCATCTCTTCCTCTCACATCCCATTGAATAGAACTTTGATGCTTAGGGGCCAGCAGGTGGCGTGGTGGTTAAAAGCACTGTATTCCCGCATGGCCAACCGGGGTTTAAGTCCCAGACCTGATGGCTTCTTTTCTTACTTTTCTTCTCTCTCTTTCTTGCAAATTGGAAAATAATAATAAATAAATTTACAATAACATAATTCTTTTTTAAAAAAAACTTTGATGCTTGACTAAATCCTGTAAGGAAACAATGTAGTTCAGGCTAGGTAGCTTTGTACCCAGATTCAATTATTAAAGGGACGAACAGAAGAATGGCTAGAGCCGCACCATGACGTCTGCCATAGGATGGATGAAACAGGATCCGGTAAATGCAGCAACAGCATTGACGAATGGGAAACTTGTCTGTCTTTATCTCCCAGTCCAGACCCACAAAGAATCCCTGTTTGTCTTCTCCCCATAGTGTCCTTACCTATAGTCTACTCAGCTGTCCTTCCTTCCATATGCACCCTCCATGAGCTGGATGCACTGGGGCTGGAGATTCGAAGCTGGAATAGCCTGGACGCTGGCATCAACAGAAGAACACTATTATGATACCCATGACCAGGACCAAGATGGCGGCATACATGGTTTAATCTAAGCAGTGAGGTAGGCTTATGAGTCAGTCAGGGAAGTCTGTGAAGCCTTCTTGTTGCTGTCTTTCCAGAGACGGTAGCCCCGGAAGTGAAGCTAGGAGGTCGAACAGAGGGCTGTTTGGTAAATGAATGGGGTTCCATCCAAAGGTAATAAAACATGAAAGGATAAGAGCATGAGAAGCCAAACCTGTCCAGGAAAACGAAGAAGTCCAGCATATACATTATCCAGATAGTGAGCCTGCGGTGAAGCTGGACAAGTTAGTACAAGGTCACATCACGGAGAGTCTTTCATTCAATGCAGAAGAGTTTGGAATGTATTGTGCATTTGGAGAGGGAACTATTAACACATTTGGAACAACAAAGACACAACATGAGATTTATTGGAAAGATCCGATAGTGATGTGAGCAATGGACCAGAATAGAAGCAAAACTATTGAAAGATGGCAAAGGTAGAGGGAACAGTTCTGGGGCCGGGAAAAGATGAGCTTCCATTAGTGACTCATTGGGTGAGAGGTCCCCATAGGACACCTGACAGGGAAGGTCAGTGTATATAGTGTTGAACACATGGGTCTGGAGCTCAAGAAAGAAGTTCTAGGGACCCAAAATAAATATATATAAAAAATCTATATATATATATATTTATGTATACACACACACACACACATAAATATATGAAACTAGAAATGGAAAATTATCAATAACATGCATGATTAAGCCACTATGCAGTGTATTCCGGATGGGAAAACACATTTTGTATGCTGTGACGATGTTCAGTGAATGAATATTAATTAATTAATTTTTAAAAAAATGTTTTTTAAAAAAGGAATGATTGTGAAAATACTTCATTTTCCTATGGACCCAGACATGGATGACTGCCATCCAGAGGATTGAAAAGCTGACCATTTTAAAAGTCCAACATTTTTCTTCAGAAAGCTCTTTTTCTTGTTTTTTAAGAATTAGTTTATTTAACTTTATTTATTTATTTTAATTTGACCAGAGAGGGACAGAGTGAGAAAGAGAGAGGGAAAGTGAGAAAGCAAGCCTCCAGGGCCAGGACCTGAACCACGTTCCGTCGTGGAAGTCCAGCGCCCTTAATCACCACGCCACCTGCCAGCCCCCTTTTTTTTTTTTTTTTTTTTTTTATCACTTTTACATTTCCTTTTTTAATTCAAACCACTAATTAGAACATTTGGTTTTTATAAATGACCACTTTTTTGATATAGAGGATGCTAAATCCGTTTAGTTGGTAAAATATAAAAGTGTTGTTCTCAGTTCCTTAAGACGTTTAAGTGGTGAGAATGGCCTAAGTTAAACGGCCAGGTACAGAAAATGACTTCTTCAGTAGAAGGTCTAAAGGATCTCTCCCTCTATACTCCCCACCTCACAGCCACCCCAATTTCTTTTTAAAAAGCAGGGCTTGGGGCCAGCAGGTGGCATATGGTTCAGGGTGCTAGACTCCCACATAGTTGACCATGGTTCAAGTCCCTGACCTGGAGGCTTGCTTTCTCTCTCTCTCCCTCTCTGGAAATATTACAATAATAATAGTAAAAGGGGGGACCAGCAGTTAGCGTAATGGCTATGTCGCTGGATTCCCACGTAGTCAACCACGGTTCAAGTCCCGGACCCGGCGGCTTAAACTCACACCGGGTGTGTATGCATGCGTGCCCAAGATCCCAAGAGGAGACTGGAGGAAAAGGGATTGCGGTGTGGCCATCCACCCTAGGGGGTGATTTCTCACTTTCTAACTCTCTATCTCTCTCTGTCTTTCTGGTGAGCACACTCGCCCTATAGCGAAAGCCTCTCCAAAAAAAAAAATAATAATAATAGTAAAAGGGGGAAACAAGCAGGGCTTATTTGCAAATTATCTGGGATTAAAGCAAGAGGGAAACATTTCCGTGCAAAATGCAGACCTGCCGTACAGGAGGGAAGTGTGGGGAGGTTTGCTATCATTTATCCCCTCCTGTATATCATTCCATTTCAGCTGTCTCCGGGCTCAGAAGTTGCTCCCCCATCCCTCAACTTCTGTGCCTAAGAAACATCTCCCCGGCAGCTCATTCTCTCTGTCTTTCAGCAGCATTTCATTATTTCTTCACTGTCCCTCTCAGGCTTGTCTCCCTTCTTCCCAGTGATCCACGTGTCCTCATTTAGCAGTTTTCAGAAGCCAGGGAGAAACGTTGCAAATAATGTTAAATATGATTAATATCTTGAATTCCTTGAAATATGACATGCATGAGTTACAATGAAACCTCTTTTATTTCCCCATGAAATGCTTTTGCATAATGAGAAAGAAAATGTCCTCTATGCCCTAATCAGCCCTGACAGTTCCTGGACTCCCAAATACTTTTATTTATGGCATTATTTATTTCATCTCTAATAAATGGAGGGGGACACAGAACCATCCGAGGCGGCTGCAGGAGAGGGAGACAATGTAGGGTGGAGGAACGCAGAGGCTGAACCAGCGAAGGAGAGAGAGAGCTTCCACGGGAAGGGGAGGCCACAGACCTGGGTCCCCAGAAGAAAATGGGTCACTTACCCAAGACTAAAAGGAAAGCTCTGAAACGGAAACCGATGGCAGAGAAGAGAAATGAGAATCATCCATCAAGAACACCCAGAGCTGTGACCTGGGGGATGAAGGCTGGAACCCGACCCTGAGGCCGCCATGCTGGCAGTGGGCCTGGCCCAGGGTGGGGTGATGGAAATGAGAAGGACCAGGCCCTCTTCTCCAAAAGGTGACACACACTCCATCTACCTGCACCCCATGAAGGCCTTCCTCCACCACTGAGCTACCTCTCACCCCCACCACTGCTGAAATTGTCTGTGTGTTTGTTTTTGGAGAGGTTTTTGCTATAGGGTGCAGTATGCTTGCCAGAAAGACAGAGACAGAGAGATAGAAAGCAAGAAATCACCCCCCAGGGGATGGCCACGCTGCAATCCCTTCTCCTCTATTTTCCTCTCGAGATCTTCGGCACGCACACACACGCGCCCGGCGTGAGTTTAAGTCACTGGGTCCGGGATTCGAACCACTGTCGACTACATAGGGAATCCAGCAACACAGCAACATAGCCATTACACTACCTGCTGGTCTCGAAATTGCGTGTTCTTCAGGAACCTTGCCCAGGGGCCGCTGCGGTGACTGGGACTTTGGGCAATGCGGGATGAGAGCCCTCGGGCCACGCTGGTCTCGCAAGCACGTGTCCATACAGTAAGTGACTAGGGACAAAGATCGCCAGCCCAGAGGGAGGCCGAGGGTCATGGGTCCCCGCAATCACAGTCCACTTGCTAAGGGCAGTGGAGATGGGAATTCAAACCACCTGGACGCACGCAGCCCTGCAACTCGGCCACACCCTCGCACAGCCTCAGTTTTCCCCATCCATTGAATGGGGGAAATGCTGGTGTCACGCACTTCCTCGGGCCCCTGCAAGGAACAAGCGAAATCACGTTGCAATCTGACGCCCAGGTCCTTTTCTGATCAGCCCAAGCGCAGAGCCCAGGGACAGCTAATGGGTGAAAGCTGGACTGGGGGCGCCACCTCCGCCAGCGAACCGAGCCGAGACCTCCAGGGCGTTCTTTCACGGAGGCTGGGGGCGCAGTTCCCGATTGGCCGAACTCGCTGTAACACAAGCACGCACTCCGGTAACCCCGCCCCGACTACGACCGCCCGGCTCGGTGCGACCTCGAGAGTTTGGGGTCGCGTGGTGGGGGGGACAGGGCGGGACACCAGGAGCCGGTTTCCAAAGCTGCACTCCGCTCGCTTCCCCAGAAGCCTGGAGTCCACATCTGGGGTTCCGAAGTGCCTCCCGAGCCGGAAGCCCAGTCCCCACATTTTCACCTGTTACCGGGGTGCCCTTCAGTCCCGGCTTCCCCGTTCCCTCCCGGGTCCGCGGGCAGCGGCGCAGGCCCCGCCCCGCCCCCACCGTCATTAGCAGATATTACCCTAAACACTTGCTCTTTACCTCCTTTCTCCCTCCAGGCATTGGCGAGGCC